GATTATTTAACAAAATAGTCAAAAGCTAAAGCAGTTAAGGATGTCACTGCTAAAATATCGTTAAGTCCTTATACGAGAATATTATTTGCTGACATGGATGTTCAACTAAGATCTTATCAGATAGAGGATCTCATTTTAATAATCAATTAGTTACAGGATTGATAGAACAATTTCATATTCATCATAATCTATCTACTCCTTATTATTCTAAGACGAATGGACTGGTAGAAAAATTTAATAGAACTCTATGTAAATCATTAGTAAAATTGGCTGAAAGATTTACTCAATAGGACTAATATATTTCTCCTATTCTATTTGCTTATCACATAAGCAAATAATCAGCCACAAAGATGAAACCTTTTATTTAGTTTATAGATGAAATGCTATGTTACCTATTGATAATTCTGATGATCCTAATGACCTTTGTACTAACCAGAATTTTACTATCCAAGAAAGAATTGATTATTTGATTAACAAATTACTTCTAGTGTGACTAGATGCAAAAATACAAATATAATTTGTACAATAGCAACAAAAGAAGTATTATGACAAAAATACAAGGATCTCTGTTTCACATAAAATTGAAGATAAGGTTTTGTACTTTGAAGCTGCAAAAGATAAAGCCCATTTTGAAAAATTGGATCAAAAATGAAAAGGACCCTATTATATTTATCAAATCTTATTAAATAGCTTTTATAAGATAAGAGAATTAGATGGTCATGTATTTCGTAATCCAGTAAATGGAGATCTTTTGAAAATATATAAAGACTCTTCTTTTCAGAATTAGATTTTCTTTTTATTTTTTTTTATTTCTTATTATTATTATTATTATGGAACAACTTTATATCGAAGATTTGAATAAAACTTTGTCTAAAGAAATAATTTTTGCTATTTCTTCATATTTAAATGGAATGAACCTACAAAAGAAATTTTAAATAATATATCAAATATTATTAAAAGCTTCATGAATAAAAGATCAAACTCTTATCTTGGTGAATACTTATTATTTAGGAAAACTTCAAGAAACAGAAACTTCTTTACCAGTACAATGAAGTCAATTGAGAGGACTTATCACTAAATATTATAGTTCTGTCTCAATACGTGCTTACTACCTCTATGAAATGCTAGGTGTAGATCAAATTCAACAAGTGAAATATATATTATTAAAGAACCTTTATCAACTCCCAAGCCATGTATACTGGTCTCTAGTAAATGAAGCTATGGATATTTAGGCAGAAGCTCAAAATTTAGAAGGGGAGAATTGAAGTCATGATCTGTGACTGTGCTAAAAATAAGTTATGTAATCTAAATGATCGACATAGTTGAAGAAGTTGACAAAGTTGTTAAAGTTGTCAATATTAATGGATTATATTTATTATATTTATTAATTATATCTTATTTATTATATATATTATATTTATTATAGTTATACTATTTATTCTTTTTATTATATTTGTTATAGTTGATTTTATATTATTTTATTTTATATAAATATCTTATATTTTCCCTTGAGTTGAAAAGTAACTCAAGTTGAGCTTTTAGGATAAACTAAGAGTTCAATAAAGAAATTGTTAAATTCATTTACTATTGCCTTTTTGTGTCTTCATTTAGGCGTGATTGTGATATTATCTTGTATTTAATTCAATGGATTAAATTAAAAATTTATCATTTAAGTTTACAGATACTAAGCCAACAGTGGCATCATGATATGGGAATGATTTTTAGGAAAAGAATTAGGATTATTGGTAAAAGTTGGGAAGAAAATGAACCAGTTAGATTATATTAATATTTTAGAAAAAAATTTATTGCTATTTATTCAATTGAAATATCATAAATAGTCTTATGTATTCCAAGATGACAATGCTCCAGTTCATATAGCAAACTATGTCAAAAATTGGATTATTCAAAAATGGGTTAAGGTGCTTCCTAATTGGCCTTCTTAATCTCCAAACCTTAACTCAATTGAAAATTATAGAATGAACTTAAACGAAGGTGCATTAAACGTTCTGTACATTCAAAAAATCTTCATGAACTTGAAGAAATATTGCAAGAAGAGTGGAGAAAAATTCCATCTGAAATTTACATCAAACTTATAGAAAGCATACTATATAGAATTAAAATATGTATTAAGAATTAAGAATGACCTACTGAGTATTAAATCATATAATTATATTCAAATTTTTAAATAAATAAATAATTTTTTGGCTGAAAGGATACTTATCTGAGGGTAGTGTAAATGGTAAAAGGTAAAATTTAATAAGATTATATTAAAAAATCTGTGAAACTCAGAAAAAGATAAAACTATATTAAGCTTATAAAATGCAAAACTATATTAAAACCTTAGTAATAAAATTAGCAAAACTAAAATTTAGACGTTTTGCCAAATATAAAATCAATTTAGACAATCAATCTTTCTTGTGGAAGAATTGGAGTTTTTTAACTTATATAATTTCATAAAGAAGGAATTTATGTGAGTTTTGTAAATTTTGTGAACTTTTTGAACTTTTTGTATAAATATAGTTAAGGTTGCTGGGTAAAACCTAGAGGTTTTGCAAGTTGTTTAAATTGTAAAAAGGTAAAATTTAGTGAAATATATTAAAAAAATCTGCGAAACTCTGGAAAGGTAAAACTATATCAAAACTTATAAAAATGCGAAACTATATCAAAACCTTAATAAAAAATAGCGAAACTAAAGTTTAGACATTTTGCCAAATCCAAATGAGTTTAAACAAGCAACCTTAGATGTAGTTGCTGTTTCATCAAATAATGTATCATGAAATTATAAAAAAAGGTTCCAATTCATTTTCATTAATATCAACATTAAATAAAAGAAGGCGGGTTATATGAACCATTATTACTATCATTAAAATTGTCGTCATTATTAAGGTTTTCCATTTTGTGTTTTACGTAAGGTAAATGTGTAAATCTTTTGGTAAATTTAATCTTTTTTTAAGCTAAAATTTAATTGGTTAGGACGGGTCTTTATTAGTCTAAAAAATTGGACTTAAAGATCTGCTAGGAATAAGTCTTTAACTAAGACTTTACCATTCCTAGGTATTGGGCTAACCACGGCCAAAATACTGTGGCAAAATCATGTGATATTTGACTGTTTGCCGCCAATCGGGAAGGTCATAAAACTTTTATTAATCAAATATTTATAGCATTTTAATGATTTTTATTTATAAGGGGCTTATTTAAACGTACGTTACTCATTATTTAATTTCGGTGATCAACAATAATACATAGCTAAAGTCGTTTTGTTAAAAATTAATTAAAATACAAATACAAATAAATATATCATAATTAACGATTAAGGGGAAATATTCTTTGTCCTATTTGGTTCACATAAAGGGACTGTTGTAATTAATGTATAGTACGTGATAATCCACGCAACTTTCTAATTACAATATATAGAAAGCTATGTCTACATGATACAGTTTTTATAAATTATTCTTTGACCTTAAACGAACTTTCTTAACATTTATTTAAAAAAAAGAAAGAATTATGTAATAGGCTAATTTTAAATTTAGCCACAATACAGCAATGAAACATTAATTCGATTTGTGCAACCACATGCTTCTGCTCGGAATTTTGAAACACCATTTTTTTTTTCTTTTTCCAAAATAAAGCCTTCCGTCTTTTCTAAAAAAAACGAAGAAACTTATTCCAATTATTGAAAGAATATTTCGTACTTTCTAATCATTAAATCATGTAAACAGTCTACAAATGTTGTTCGATTAAATTCAATGGATTTTGTCACCTTTTATTAGAATCAATGATTATGGAATTAATTTATTATTTAATTTTTTTTTTACCGGCATGAATGAAGTTCGCGTAAGTCAATCATATATGCCATCTTACGTGATTAAAGTTCTCCTGACGTATTACAAGAATAAAAAATGTCGTCATTGACATTTTAGTACATGAATGAAGATGTTATACAAAATACAATAAATCAATCAAAAACCTGAAAAAATATAACTTTTCCTTGTGGTAATTGCATTTTATTAAAAATTTTATGTAACAAACATATAATTTCATTTCTCGATTGTAAAATCTTTTGTTACCAATAAAACCAACATCAATGAAAAGGAAGTGACCAATTTTAATGTTCCGTAACTCAATTTGGAAAGATGATAAAAGAAGTTCTTATATTTGTCGTTCCTTCCTTTACCTTTCGACTTCAAATTTCTTTAGATAAAAGAACCTATTTCACGACATTTGTAACTTAAAAATTCTAATAATTATGCGTTACCATAAAAATAATAATATTGAAGAATATAATTACCGTTTAGATATAGTCCAACAACCGAAACGTGCTTGCGAATATAATTTTAGATCTCAGGTTATTATTATTATAATTTTAAGTATTGCTGTGTATTAATATCATAATGGTCCTAAAATCCTCCTTTACGTCGTCGATTCTATGACTATCAGCAACTAATCACACCCGTAGTTATATTAAAGTTACACATTGCAAATTCCAATGGAGATGAAATTAATATTAGGTAATTAACTTCGTTTCTTTACGTTATTTTAGGTGGTCGTCATATTAACAACGTAATTGATTATTTGTCAGTGACGTCGATCCCTCGCATTTTCTTTTAGAGGCATCTTTAATTGATACGTTAACTTATGAAGATAAATCGATGATATCATATAAATCTTGTAGCAAAAGGATGATTGAAAATGTTAGGAATCTGCTTGGAAATTCGATAATCAATCCACAAAAATTATATGGATTAGATGGTGATTTGGGATTATGGTTTACGTTTAATGATCTTAGTGTGTGTAAAGAAGGCGATTATATGCTGCGATTTAGGTTATTCTATAACGGACGGTACGTAATATCTTGCATACTAGAGTCATTTGTTTAATTTTAAAATTCCCTTTCCCAATAATTTAAATTAGGCTACCGAGTATCGTTAATGATATCGAATGTGAATATATCAGTGAAATAACTTTCATTGAATCGAGACCATTTGTCGTTTACAAAAAATCTCAATATCCAGGGGACATAGGTATGTAAATTAAGAAAGATTTCTATGAAATTTAAACTAACGAAAGCGCTTTTTTTTTTTTTGCTATGACAGCGCCAACTTTATTATCAATTAATTTTTACGAACAAGGTGTGAATATTCCATTAGGTTCCAGCGTTCAGAGTAATCGTAATAACAAGTTTGTTGAAGTCATATCCGATATCAATGAAAATGATTACTTTGAAAATTTATATGAAGACGACGAGTTCTACAGCGACTATTATGAAGAATTCTCGGATGATGATAAAATGAATGTGGATGAATCTTAAATATTTTTAATAGATTTGATCTTTATTTAGAAATTATTTATTTATTTATTTTTGTACGTAACTTATTACATACACTACAATATGATTTGTAAAAAAGTATATTTTTAATTTCAAATAAAGAAATATTAAAACGCCGGGACTTGAGCCTCCAAATTCAATTCCTATCGTATAAGGTTGCCGGAAACCCGTCCAAGCCTGTCGTCGAAACCTGTCGAAACCGAAAGATTTCAACTTTTGCCAAATGGGATTAGGGTTTTGCTCCGCAACCTTAAGTGCATAAATAAAATTCAAAAATTAATTATTGTCAGGAGCATAGCGGGCTTTCTTCGTGATTGGCTAATTTTTGTTGATCATTTTTTATTATTGCTAAAATTCTATTGGTTGATAAAAATCACTTGATTTTTAATATTAATGATTAAATCGAAAAAAAAGCCTTTAAATGCATCACTAAATCACAATAGTAATTAATGAATTAAAAGATCATTAACAAAGGCTAGATAAGTATAATGCATAATAATAATATGATAAGTATGATAATCAAAAGGAATAGTGATTTTTATTAAAGTGTCTTATAATGTGAATGATTTAAACCAAATAAAAAAAGATATTTAATAAACAGATTCTTAATTATTTTTATAAAAATATCAAAATTATGTTTTTATTATATATACTACTAAATATTGCGACCATTATCTATATCCCAATCATATTTCTGCAACTTACATCTCTATAATAATATTTTTTCAAATTATACACTTGTTAAAATATTTACAGTACTTTTGAAAAGTTGATCTATATTATTATCTAAAGAAAAATCTTTGTCACTAATATTAGTATTATCCTCAGTTTCAACATCATCCAATTTCTTTGTATTTTCATCTGTGACAATCCTACCAAATGAATTAAGAGTTTTCTGAAAAGCCTTACAATTGCTTTCAATTCCGCTCACAAGATAATCAGTACAATAATAGCATTGACTTTGTAATTTAAATAAAAAACATTTAAAGTGATAAGCATGCTCGCAAATCAGAATACAACCTATCTCACAAGAATCTATACAGCTTTCGAAGTCACAGTATCTATCATTTCAGAAAGGATATTCTGTATTCTAAGCCATTGACAATATTTTAACATCAACTTGAGCTTCAAGTGTTGGAAATTTATATAATTTGAATTTTAAATGTACATCAGATGAAATAATTATTGACCTGCCAAGATTCTTATAAATATCTGTAAAGAAATTTAATAGGAAAGCGCAGTCCGTTTTTCAAGATACTCTAACTGTTTTGCTAAATATCTAATATTATGATTTTCAGAAAACATGTCTGTAAATGAGTTACCACTACACATATAATCAATTATTCATGCTCGTTAAATGATCTGCTCTGCAGTATGTGATTTTTGAATTTGCCGTTGAAATGAGCTATAAGAGTTTTTCACATAGTAATCATTAAAAATATGAAGAGAATCTCTAAAAGCTTATGAAATAGGATGGTCAGTACTGGTCTAATAAAAAATATCACTTAAAAATGCTAATGGTAATTTATTGTAATATTTACGCTAATATTGATAAAAAATAGCCTAAATACGAAATATGGCTTCTTTATATGCCAGCCAATCTTCACTACGAAATATGATAGGATAAAATCTAACACCAGCGAGATGATATTGTTCAATAAATTGATAAGATATCTGGCTTCTGGATCTTTAAAATGTTCAAATTTCTGCAAAATTATCAAACACACTCGAAACCAACCTTAAGATACTAATTCTAATAACAAATTAATTTTGTAAGATTTTGGTTTTTTCGCCAATACCTTTTGATATCCAAACATCTCATAAAAAAGTATATCAAAGATTCGATAATTTAAAAGAAATATAGTTTCGCAACTGTTTAAGGATATATGTAATGGTCTGATCATTGGAATAATATGCAATATTTGTTCTGATATTCCAGAAGAATTGCTGATATTAATTCAATGAGTGATAATATGTTGTATATAAAGTTATTCAGGATAGTCCATAAGTGCTACTAATATCCACATTTCTAAATAATTTTTTACTTCTTTATAAACATTTATCATATGTTTAAGGGCATCCACATAATTTTCAGTCTAATGAAGTGATCTTACTTTCAAATCTACTAGTTTCATATTCTCTATGCTTCGATCAGTCTGATATTTTTCAATTTTGTCATCGTAGCTGTAAATTAAGAGTCGCTCAACTCGTTCATTATAAGTTTCTGATACAGGCATCAAATTAGTAAATGTTCGCTTTTGTCCTGTATAACTAAACTATAAAAAAGGGAAAAATGATTTATGAGCTTTTTCTATAATAATAGTTGCATTAACACCTCTTTCATTATGAATACTTTTTTCTTAGTTAAAATTATAAAATGGAATAAATGCCATTTCTGGCAAGGCTTTTAAGAGAATTGTGATAAAATGAGATACTTCATGTGTAGTTGTTATATCACTACAACAGTACTTATGAATATTATAAAAATTATGCATATTGAGAAAAACTAAGCTTCCAATCTATTAAATGATTAATAATATTAGTTATTTATGAATAAAACTCATAGAAATATTTATATACTTACATTTTCTGATAAAAACTCTCTCATAATTATTGTATGTACTTCTGCGTGCTAAGCTTTCTATCTTGTAATAATTTTACATCTTACTATAAAGCCAACACCCGTTAAGATTTCTATTGCTGATGAAAATGTTCTGAACACATCTAGCAAAAACCCTACCTTTGCCTTAACTCTATTAATAAATTTATTATTAAGTCCCGCTAGGAAATAACAAAATAAAATCAATCTTTTCTTATTCTTCTCATTAGTCATTTAGCTCTTAGCTTGCAAGTTAGTTCTAGTTACTAGTTGACTAAAAAAACCTTTTAACGATGGTTCAGCCTCCTCAAGCATTTTCTTAAAATCTTCTGAATTGAAAATAGGTCTTTTATTATATACACGCTGTCTTATATATAACACCCCTACCATTAATTTAATCTTTTTATTGAGAGAAATTAATTTTAAAATATTTGGTAAATATTTGATTGTATAAGAAAGCAGTCTGGAATACAGTTATAAACAAAAAATTATTTACTTACCTAGCTTTACTTTATCAAGCTCTGCACATACACCATTATATGAAGCTTCCAGTTCTTGAAATTCAGATTCAGAGTAAATGATATCACTTCGTAATATATATAATCTGCCTTGAAATATTCTTATATTCTCTTTCGGAATCCTTTTTGGTGTTGGTAGATAATATGCTAAATTAATATATTTTGAATCAGTATCAGTTTTATATAAGCAATGGTAATACATTATTGCTCCTTGTAGTAGCTTGAAGAATTTAATTAATCATTTTAGAGCTTTCTTGATAGTCTTAGTTTCCATACTATGTCAAACTGTAAAAACGTAAAACCTATATTTTGGATGTGAACATTCATTATTAATTTTAGATTTTTTAGCATTTACTATTAGTTTATTATAATTCTTTTAGCATAAAGCTTTTCCAATCAAGTCCAGATATTGACTTGAACTTAGTATGATCACTTTCTTAGATACAATGAATGCACTATGCTTTTCATAATCATAGACAACACCCTTTTGACCTTTCAGATCATAATAGCGAGTCTTTCTTTTTTCCTTTTTCTCATCAGAAGGGGCTGGATCTTTATGGTGAGCTTCTTGTGTAGATATTTTGCTTATATTCTTTTTTCTGGTGATAAAAAATGCTAGAATAAAATAATCTCTTATTAGCTAGTTTTTGAATTATCTCACTGTTTACTGAATTACTTTAACAGTCTATAAAATAAAAAGGTATACTTTTAAATTTTTTAGCCATAACTTTTGCCAATCCATTTTCAGAGCTGCCAATCCATTTAAAGTTAAATGATTATTTTTTTTTAGGAATTTACTATGCGATGATCATTTATAAGATTAACCAATCACATTTAAGCCTGCTATGTTATTGTCAGTATTAAAATATTTCCAAAGTTCAAAATCTAATTTATGGAATCAAATTAATTCTCAATATATATGCTAAATTAGGATGTTTGTCATATTGATCTATAATATAATAGATTGGATCAGTTTGAGAAATACGTAACGTGAATATTTAATTTTATATAATTTTTAACAATAGTAACAAATTATGCATATTAACTGAACTATTGAACCATAAAATAAAGTTAAATAGTAAGAGTAAAGAAAATAAAATGAAATTTTTTTTAAAAAAAAGTAACGTAAATAAAAAAATGTATCACAAAATAAGATTTATTTAAGATCAAAAAAAAAAATTTTACTGTTAATTAAAAGGTTAATGTTAAAATATATTTTCTATTCTATTACTTGCACAACCTAATTTATGTATTAACTGAATCTAAAAAATGAAATATAAAATAATTAGAATTAATTATCAGGAAAAAAAAAGTGTCTAAATAATAATGTAAAAAACTTTATAATCCAGATCCATCTAAAGTAAAAAATAATTTTATTTAAGCAAATTTAACCAATTTTTAAAATGAGCAAAAGTGCTTAATTTTATGCAGATCAATTATTAGTTTTATATATATTGTCTAAGATCCTAACCTATTTATTTGTTATTATTAATTAATAAGTTATCTTTAAAAAATTAAAAAAAATAAAAATTTGATATATGTTGATAATATAATAAACCTAATAAACTTTATTTCATATTTTTATTTTTAATAGATATTAAAATATTATAATTTTTTTACAATATTTTATATATTTACTATTTAAAGAATACCAATTTTTATATATTAAAGTATTATATAAAATTTTATTTTATAATAATTTTTTTTTAAAATTATTTTATATCTTATATATAAAATATTAATTTATAATTAATTTTTTTAAATAAATTTTATTATAATATATTAATTATTCTAAAATCTAATAAAATTTTAATTATATAATAAATTATTAAATTTTTATTAAATAAAATTTATTTATCATATAA